TTGAGAACGTATTTGTTTTGTTTTTACACTGACTGTGAGATCTCTCACTGTAGAAAATATTTTATAACTCTGTGAAAATCCTTGTGTATTGAGGACTTTGGGGAACAGTAGTTCCATTCGTCATTTGCACGTACGTCTCATATAACAGCCCATTAGCGCTTCATCTTTGATTACCTTCATGGCTTCCTCCTGTATTTCTATTTTACACACATTACAAGTGGGTATTATTCTTGAGATTCATGAGCTGCATTTGAATATGAATAAAACAGAGGAATGAGGAAAATTTTGTGTTGAGTCGGAGGACCATTAGACATTCGGGCCTTGAGCTACCAACTGGCCACTTTTTGACTGTCCTCCAACGTTGCATATTTGCGTATACTATTGTCACGTGATTTCGGAGCTTGTATTATGTTGTATCATATTTAATTTATTAAATTACATTCTTTAAATATCTAAAATCCAATCCAAGTTATTGCTACACAAAGTATAATATAACGAGACAAAAAAAATCAATATAAATAAGTACTTCAACGACCGTTACACGTATTTAGGTTTATTTGTATGGCCTCATGCCCAAATGCACCAGCGCTCGATTCTGCGAAATAATTTTCCCTTTAAAGTACTTTCCTCTCTTCTTTCTCGGCTGGTATGCGAATGCACTGAGAGAATAGCCGAGAAAAAGAGGTCTCACGCGACGATGCACCCAACGAGACAACCTGACGACCATTTAAACTACGAGACATGTATGTAAGACACTGGGGGACTTGCTTTCCTTTCAGAAAGACAGCCGTACTCCGATAGTTGTCTACAAACATAAAAATAACAACTGGGAAAACGTGTTTTGATTACCAATACGACAGGAGAAAATACCAAAGAATACCGCTGACAAGAAAAAAGGGCCAGCAGAAAAAGCCATGTATTCTCGAATGTTAAAATTTTAATGGGGAGTGCTGCGTTGGTGGAACCACTATTGTCACCCGAAAAAAACCAAGTCTAGCATCGTGATGGGGAGTCAAGGGGCCCACCCTTGAATTCTTGATATTCAGCGATCTTAAAGACCTGATTTTCGATATTTCGCAAAGGCAAATTTCTTTTTCCAAACTCGAATTTCTCTGTTAACCAACCACACTTGCTTAGTCTTAATCCATCGCAATATTTCACCAATTTTTATTTTTTTTATGCATGACGAAGTGAAATAGGTGAGACCCCTGAGTTCCATATTTACCAAAATTAATTATTCCTTTTAAAAATTTTGTTCATAATCCACTGAATGTCACCACAAGCATTAGCAGGAGGATATAGAGCCCATAAAAATTCTTGGTATTTAAAAATGACGGCGGAAAGTGAAAAGTAAAAAAGAACTGTTCAACAGATTGGTTCCATCCGTGGAAGAAGAATCTCATACTGGCTAACACGTGTGCCAAGTTGACGGAACTTATAGACAGGCGAAAAATGTGCAGAAAATTATCTTCAGCTCATTGGTATTATCATTCGCAGTAAAATCCTGTTATAGTCGCACCTCCTCTCATTTTTTTTTCAAGTATATCTTTCGGTTCACTTACTTTACTACCTGCGGGCTACAACATATGTAAACGATTCATTGTTTCGTCTGCTGAAGAATTACATTCCCGGCAAGATAAAGCCGAAATAGTATAACAATAATTTTCTTGACAATGTGCGGGAAAACCACTTTTTAGGCAGGCGAAGCGAAGCGGAGCTTGTTTGAAAAGGTGCTTTTCGGTGCATCGCGATGAAAAATAAAATTCTCTCGTATTAGAATTTGCTATGGAAAAATTCTGTTCACTCTTGGAAATAAAAATGACAAATTGATGACATGGTGAGGAACAGTGGGAACGCATTCTGTGAGGCAAGAAAGTCTTTCCGGATGAGAAAGCCTGCGTATATGAAAGGCCGGATGAATGAAGCGAGTTATAGATGAAAAAAATCACGCAGTTTACGTCACATTGTGGTTAATTATCTATGAGAATTGCCATATGAAGGCATCGCACTTGATTATATATTGAAATAATATGCCACCGTGAGAAAAATAAAATCATGATGTATTGATGACACGTCGTAACTATTGATATCCTAATTATTGGATTTCGGGGTTTTCCCCCGAGTTCAAAATTCACTCTTCTAGAGTTTTTATATTTCCGCATTTATGAAATATTTATTTCTTTGTTGCTGTGGGACCTTTCCTTTAGGTTATAACAAAAAAAAAAAGGGAATTCCCGGAGGGACTTTCTCCTTGCGGGTTTTTCCCAAAATACATCTGGTGACCAGAGAGGGTCAAGAAAGAGAAAAATCCAAGGGTTGAGGGTGGAAGGAGAAATTATATTGCCCTCTGGAGAGGCCTTCTGGTTAACGTGGGCCTCACCAGTAATGTTTAGTTAGTTCGTTGTAAGTCTTCATTCAGTAAAGTACCTCTTAACTGTCTAGAGTCTTATAATTTTTAATAATAATTCTCAGTCTTAAAATTCTCCAAGTGTTTATTTATTTTGATCTCCATAATCCAATACTAATAATCATTAATGAAGCAACTCATGTAATTAATAATAGGCTTATAAAGACCCTTGGGATTTGTGTTTTGTGTCGTCCTTTTCCTCTTATTTAGAATTCTCGCCAATTGCACAAAATATTGAAAAATCATGGAAAATAAATGAGTAAAAAAATAAGAACGAAGGCAATGGAAATAAAGTACAACAAGGATAGTTTAAGAAACACCGGATAAGTATGCAAGATCGAGTGTAATCAGTTTCCAATTGTAAATAAACAGATATCAGAAATGAAAATTGAGTTTTATCCTTGTGGAGATATTCACAAGCCTGAACATTAAACAAATATTTAAAAACGAAGGAGGGAGGGTAAGCGAAGAACTTGCACTTGAGATTCTTAGTCAGGTCTTTGTGGGTCGGCTCGACAAACATTGCCCCATCCTGGAGGAGGACCGCGCCGTCATAACACCAAGATTGGCGCCTTCCCTTTACAATCTCTTCAAGCCCCTTAAACCACTATTTTCCTTTGCCATTTCAGACTGCATCACCCTCAATCTCAAATTACAAAACCTCCGGTGTCACTTGGTGCAAAGTTTTTCGTACTCGCACAGTCACCGCACGTTATTTGAACTGGGAGGCAAAATAAACTGTATGAGTGAACAGTGCGGATGGTTCAATTTTTGGGAACCCTAAGATTCTCGTTGATGGTTGAAGATATGTATCCAGCCCCAGCATTCAGAATTAACCTCTCTTGAAAAAAAACCTGGGCCGAGTGGTGAGGGACAGATTAGATGGTAGATCTGTCTCATATTTACCCTGATAAACCCAAGTCTTAACTCAAGTTGGAAGAAGCTTAGTGCACTGCACACAGATTTATAAACACGAGCAGAGACAAAAATAGGAAATGCTTTAGAAAATGCCATTTAGATGATGTTGTTCCTGTACTAGAGCCAAGGTATACGGTATACGTGAGATGAATGGGAAGTGCCTCTGAAAATTCTCGTACCGTCTCAAACTCGTACCGCACTCACGCATTCATCTTTTTTCATCCATCTAAGAAGTAAACTTTGTATACTTAGAACGTGACAAGATTTAATATGATTTAACCATAATGGGGAGTGATACAAGAGAATCCGTATAGCGCGTGCGGGTTTTAAGTATCTCGTATAGGAGAGAGATGGTTTAAAAGGTGGAATGGAAGCCACCGAAGAAGACGAGTCAGTTAAAGCGTTATCCAACAGCAGGGGGCCCTTAGGTATCTTAGGTCTCTCTTCCACAGTGGTCCTATCAACTTGTACACATATATACCACAAGCTTCTTCCGTAAGGCCGTCCACTCTCTTCCAAAGATGGTCACGAATGACCGGAGCCAGTGAACGCTTCAACAGAGATTGATAAAGATAATGACCTCCTCCGAGGGCCATCGTCGACGTATAACGGTAAAAACAAAACTCTTCGCCCCTCCACTCGAGAAGACGATATACAACATACCATGGAGGAGTATAACATAAAAATGAGCACTCCCCATATTAAAATCTGATGCTCCACTTCCTCCCATTGTCACCAATTAATTATCAAAACGATGGGCAATGTCAATTATATGAGTAAAGTATCAAAGAGCGATTAGTCCTCATCAGTGGCAATTTTCTCAAGCTAATTCCAACAAAAATATGACCACCACTTTTCTCAAACTAATAAAAACAATGCGACGTGGATGACACTGTCAGGGGACGATAATTCTCCTCCAGAATTTATTGCTCTTCTGCTAATGCCCATGGCCATAGCAAATCAACTACGAGGAAAGAAAAAGACTATAGAGAAACCAAATTCATCCTCTCGAATTTCATGATAAGCAACACGGTCCCAACAGAGTGATTATCCTAAAAGCATTGACTCTTAAAATATCTTTAAATTCCAGACGATAAGCCGAGCCTCGAGAAGACGATGAAAAAAGGATAATAATATATATTTAATCTCAATAATCACGAAGAATGCATGTGATTCGATAGTGCAAAAAGGATATTTTCTGTTCTGAGCACGAGCGTGAGGAATGCATTTTCAAGGCAATGATCAAAAAGAGCGGCGTTCTCCCTTTTGTCAACGTATCGACATTAATATTAATTCTGCCCTCTTGGTCGAGGCATTGGAGCATTGGAGCCGGTGTCCGCTGAGTCATCTTGCTGTCCGATGTTCACCTTTCATAATGCAGAGTTTGTACGGAATAAAAAATAAAAGGAAGAATGGAGTTGGCTCGGTGTGTCGCACGCGCCCGTCTGATTTATCGGTTTGCCTTCTCCCTACAGCAAACCCCAGAGATCAGCTCCACGAATCTCAATCGGTTCTCCATCCACTAACTATGCCCCTTTTCTGTCTTTCTCATTCTTGTCGTTAGGGCCATAGACTTTTGCACCTTTATTTTTACTTGACTGCCACTAAAATCGTTCGTCTCGTTCGCCTTGTTCGCCTTGTTTGGCTCTTGGTACTTTGTTGATCCTTGCTTCGAGCCTCAACAAAAATGGAAACAAAAGTAACGAGAAACATTGTGAGTATACGTTTTCGTCATGTTACCATAGTTGGACAAATAAATTAATCAATCATCAATTTAATGAAGAAAGGACGAAATTGTTGCGTTATTTTTGGACGAAGAAGAAAAGTGATGGAACAAATCAAACAATTTGGCCATTTAATTTCCTTTTGAAAGTAATTTTTAGTTTTTAGTGTTTTATTTTATGATAATTTTTCATGTAAAATATATCTCTCTCATTGTAAATGTTGAATATTGTATTGCTCTTCTTTGTTTTTGCTCATTCTGGTTTTAATAGAAGGTGGAAGTTGGAGGAGTCAAGTACATGGGGTATTGTAAGAAAGTTCAAGCCTTTTAAGGCTGAATGAGGAGGGGTTGGGTGAATTTCTCGGAAAATCGCCATTGCTCAGTTGGTTATTGCGTTCCTCTAGTCTTTTTCCATTTGGAGTGCACTTGGAGTCCAGACAAGGAGTGGACGGGTAGAATCAGCGGGTTTCACCTGGGGATAGCCGCCCTGAGGCTGAGCGACGATCAAATAATAAGATTCAAACAACCACTGCTCTTTTCCAAAAATTCAAATAAAAATCGATGCTAAGGTGTGTAACGATCTGGACAAATTAAACAAAAGGCAAAAGACAAAATATGACAACTGCAGCTGTAAAAATTCCGAGAAATATAAATAAAAAAACTGAAAAATTAAAACAAATGAATCATAAGTATCTTCTCCGACAGTTTCCTAACCGCTGCATTGCTTCTGTCGGATAAGAAAATATGCTTGCCAGTGATGACAAAGAGGATGAAAAATCGAAAGCTCCAACGGAAGGCTTAAATTTCACCATAGACTCACCTCGGACGCAGACAACAGATACAGAGAATGACTACACTGTAAGAAAAATCTATTTTATCCTATTAGATACCTAACTCATCTCCACCCTGCCGAAACACCTAAAAACTGGTTAAATTGTTATTGCCGATATCTTCTCGTTTTTAATGTTTTATCTCATTTTAAGTTATTTGAACTTGGCAAAAAAGTCAAAAAATGAGAAGATATGGGCGATAACTCCTTGATATTTCTTTAGGCATTTTTACTGGTGTTTCCTACCGTTCGTCACTTTCCTCTCGTCATAATGATGTTTTGGTAGGAAGAACCTCTACCTCGGAAGAAAACACGGTAAATAGGTTGCCAGGGCACTGAGGGCACACGATGGAGGAGGGGCACGGGGTCTAGTTCCCCCATGTTTATTATTGCCTCAGTCGTGTGTGAAACTCTGGAGTTTCCCACAGGCTTTTACGTCTGCACTCGCTACTACGACGCAAAAGGGACTCGTCATGAGCTGGTTGGAGAATATATGTATGCAGTTAGTACTTAGGTTTTAATAATAGATTGGAAGGGCCTCGAGAGCCTCGTGACTGACGCGTGAGAATACTCTATACCGTTCACCCCGCTAACCTTCTCCTTTAATCATCCCCGGCTTTTTCTCCAACCAATGTAAGCATTCAAGTGGTTCATTTGCATTTTATGACCAATCATTGTTGATGAGGTGCATAATATCCATGACGAGTAGTGAAATTCTTCTCCTGTCTCCATCACCCATCAGTTTCGAACTGAAGAATTAATCTTCTCTTCGATTTTCACCTCAAAGCAACTCGAAATAATATATAAATATATGAAATACAAAAAAGTCAAACGAGCATTATCGAAAATTTTTCATTTTTTAATTTTTTATTTCAACCATTTTTATTGTTGACGAGCTATTTTGACGTTACGTGCTATAAAGTTCCCCAATCATTGGGGGAAAAACGACAGGTTTTTAATTGTTACGGAATAAATAATGCAATCTCTGTTCGAACTAACTTGAATTGAATTTTACTTCGCTCGCGGATTGCATTTTGAACTTGAATTTTTCCATTTTTTTTCAATTTAACTACGTTCTTTCTTCGGTGTTCGTCCCCCAGTACAGTTATACATGCTTTGGGGGAGAAACAAACGGAACGGAGTAAATGGGTTTCCAATGTTGAATGTTTAAATTTATGGTATAACAATGGTTGAATGTTTCACACGCACCGTGTGGTGGCAACGGTGCACAAGTGACATATCACCCAATAGATTCTCCCTCAGGATCTACCACGAATTTCCCACGGTCTGCAAAAGCGTCATATCCATTGCGACCCTCGCGTGGACGACACGTGGCCATCAGCCCCCCACTGAATATTCACCCGGAGCCCCTGGACTTTTGTTGTCACAAACGCTCCTGACTTCCTTTCGTCGAATATAATTTTTCAAATGCAAGCAACTTCTCTACATCAATTTTATTTCTAATTCGATGACCCTCATGCGGGCCATCGACTTCATAGCACAATTGGAATAAATTGTAAATGTCCCTCGAGATTAAATTTTCGGGGGAAGTATTCCTCGAAAAAAACGGGGGTACACGTCCTAAAATACCTCCAATTAAATAAGTGATGAATCATACGGGAAATTCCAATATCGATTGCTGACAATATTAGTATTTGCTGATAGAAGAAGCAGGAAGGTGTGTAGTTGAAACATTTCCTCAAAGAACTGGAAATTAATAGTAATTGAGAGCGACGTCGTAAAATTTCGATTTTATCATCATCTTGAGGATTCGAGGAACATCAGGAGGAAACGTAGATCATTAAAAACAATTTCATACAGGGTTTTTTGTGGGTGGGAAGATGGGAAGTTGGAAAATTCTTATAAAAAAATGATGAAAAATAGGCAGCGCGTTCAACGAATATTTGGAAAAAACTTGAAAATTGAAATATCACGAAAATTTTCCACCGTTCTATTTCCACCGGAAAGTGCCACTCAAAGGAAAGTAATGTGAGGTAATGTAAAACATTAGGTAAACAGCCAGGGGTAAAGCTAACGACTCGAAGATTGTTGTAACATATTCTGCGGCATTTTCTACGCTCTATGGAGCTCTGTAGTGACCATCGGGTATAATCTTCGGGTTAAAAGAGGCCGTATACATTGATTCACAACCAGCTCGACGAGCATTATTCATTCCGCTATTTCGACAACCTTGAATTCTTTATGAGAGACTTAAGGAGAGTAATGATACGTCGAAGGCGAATGGAAGAAGATGTGGGATACGAAAAAAGATATTTCTTATTTAGGGATTTATAATTCTGGGACACACGTCTTTCGATGTTAGGCAAGATACTTTGAATTGCTATAGGTGGCAGATTCGAAGATTTTTTTTTTAAGAGAAATAAGATGATGAAATATCGAATTCGGGAGATGAGTGAAAAGAAACTTAATTTCACGTTGCCCAATAAGCAATGCATTCAAGAGAATCGATGAATTTTCACTCCTGAAAATGTTTTTCCTATCCATGTGCAAGCACTTAGTGAGAAATAGGAAGAAAGATTAATCTTTATCTCCTGTAATTTGAAGTAGAAATTCAACATTATTGATGTAAAATTATCAATCGACGATACTTCTTGGGTATTCGTAACTCATATCAATGGTTGTGGTCTCGATTGCCAATGGGCATTGAAAATATGTCGATGGAAAGTAGTAAAAAGGAACTGTAATAAAATACCCCCAATCCTTCTAACAAAAGTTATGAAATTGAATTGTGAAGGAGAGTAGTTGTGCTGCAAATAAAAAAAAGTCTCAAATTGGTCAAGAGTTAGCGAGAAGTGAGAAAGATCTGTAGATGGCCACGAGGGATTTACACTGATATTATCCTAAAGTGGAGTGGAGGTCGTTTCAACAGCGCGGCCATTAGTCGAAGGGATTTTCGATGAATCGCTCCAATTTACCGAAGGCATCCGGAACGTTTAAGGGTCATTTTCCTACGGCCCCCGCAATAGTGCCCCAAGGCACCACCGTTATTTCGGGTATTTTTGTTGCTTGTTTTTTCATTCTTTTGACCACTTATGGTTCATTCAGTGTCCCAGCATGACCACAAATTTCGCGATGAATTCGCCGCCGGGGCTTATGCACTTTTCGAATACCAGATAAAGTGGAAGTGTCACGCGATCTTACATTCCATAGTTTTGATGCTCAAAAATTGAAAAATCATGGCTGAAATCTTTTCAATGAAATATCGAAATTCCCATGAATTAATTTTTCCGTACTGCTTCTCACGATTTCGCGTCTGGGAATTGGTACTACACACTTGCCAACTACGGGAAAATATCATCCGGACTGTTGGGATGGGATTTTTTACTCATGTGGAGTTTGGCGGAACGAGCAAGAGCAAGACGAAGGCAAGACGGAAAAATATACTATTCAGTCAAATTAGTTCGTTGAGGAGTTATCACCAATATCCTTTGATTTTTCAAGATTTTTCTAAATTGTTGAGGAACTTCCTACGTTCTCAGTAAGGTCTCAGTAAACGAATTAAGTTTGATAAATTAATTCTGCGATATTTAACATTAGCAGGAATAGTTATGTGATGATTTGTAACTGATTTATTGGTAGTAAATTAAAATAAATAAAGTAAATTGTTTAATTTTCAGTATCCATCAAGCACACACGAGCAAGCTGAGCGTTACCTCGCCAATCACAAGATATACGAACTCTTAAATTTTCTAATAGGCCATTTGTTGGTAGAAGAGCCAGACGATCCAATCGAGTTCCTGGACAATCTCCTGAACAAGTGCATGCTCTTCAAGTCGGATATGGATGAGCCACCGTTGCTCTTCACCACCCGGTAAAGCTCACCCAGTCCTCCTTATAAGTACATACTTCCAGCAAATGGAAAAATAACTCGTAAATCGTCAGTCATTAGCACTCCCCACTGAAAACACCGACAAATAAAAAATCAAGAATCCACCAAAGTGATGGTTGCAGGCTCCATTACAATTTGTCGCTTGTAGCCTTATCGTTTCTCGTCCCTTCATTCCTAAGTCGTGTTCTTTAGGGGACTTCAATTTTGCTCGATGAGGCCACAAGGCTCGTGACAAACGAAATTGAAGAAATTACAAGCGAAAATATAAACTGGCGGTTGAGAATGTCCAATAATTTGAAACTTTAAGAGCCGCCCGTCATTTTGACTCGTTGCATTCCCCCATGGATTACATGGATTACAGTGCAAAGCCAAATTTACTCTAGTGGCTGCAACAATAACAGTAAAAGTAACCGCAGTAAATCTCTATGATCATCCACGCAAAAAAAAAAAAAAACAAAAACAAATCGAAAAAGTTGCCAAAGAAGGAAATTAATTATCTCATTGAGTTCATTTCTTCTCAATCTAATCAACCGGAAACGACAAAAAATATAATGTGAGAAAAAAAATATCTATATGATGGTACTCTACTAGTTTTAGGATGAGTCAGCCTTTGTTGAGAAATCGAAAGGCTGATTCTTACACGTTCCTTCCTTGGAAGCATTGGCATACCTATAATCAAGGCCCAGGACCCGCCAACAAATTGTCTCTCTCAGGTCCTCAACTCCTCCTCCCTATTCGTGCCCTCGCAGGTCAATCCAACCATCACCCAGGACTCAACAGATTCCATTTTACCAAGAGTCATTTCACCATTCTCTGACAATCAAGGCAAATCGATGTTGTGCATAATTTAGTTTCTATTCTTAGGGATCCAATAATTCATATTATTACAGAGATCGATGTTCCCGTTTTATCGATCAATCTCCATTTTTGCATTTGTTCATTTCTCAACTTGGCACAAGGAATATTAACATTTTTATTGTATTCATTCAGTTCGCATATGGAGGGTTACAACTTGAATTATTTAACTTTCTATATAAAATTTTGATATGCGATTGAAAGCTATTTACCTACGAATTGGGTTTATTCAATGACAGGCACATCGCCAGCTTATTTCAAAGTTTGAATCCCTCTGGCAGTGGGAGAATTAGCCTGGAGCAATACAAAATTGGCATGAAGACCCTCGGAATCACAAACTACGATCAGTGTCCAGTCGAGTGCACACCAGGTTATGTTGACAAGCACACCTTCGAGGACCAAGCGTGAGTCCCTTCCTTTTACAAACATATTCATAAATGAATTTACATTTAACTCAGTTAGCTGCGTGTAAAGGCTTGTAATCAATGAATCCATCACTGCAAAGCATCCCTGGGAATTTGCAATTATTCCAAGAAAAATGCTAATTGATTCAATTATCTCGGCTGATATGGTTACACTCGAGGTCACTCTCAGGGTTTTGATTCCAAATCTAGGAAACTGGTCATGAAAAAATCTCTTTGTCCAGGGAAACGATTAGCCGCCTTAAGACCATTTTTTTCATTCGCTAGAAGAGAGCACGAGTAAGAAGAAATTCTTTAACTTCACTTGGCGTGGGACTGTTCCGCCCCATCGCAAATGTTGAACTTTTTTTAGAAGCAGATCGCCCAACCGTAGGTTCACACGGAAGTTTTCATGATTTTATGCTCAATATTCCTGGCGGATCTATTAGTAATTATATGGAGTAACGAGATGATTATAGATTCATTGGGATTAACCAAATTTTGTTTGGTCATTTCGGTCAGATGGATTTCTCTATTCCCACAGAAAAACTCTGGAGAGGTCCGTTATTCTGAGTGTTGAAAAAATAATAATCATTTTTCAATATAAACCGCCAGGGTGCTTCAACTTCTCTTGTTATTTTTCATTGCTCAATACAATTTGAGTTCTCAATATTTTATTATGCTGTTATCGTATACTTGAATTCAGAAGCGAAATGATCAAATCATTTATTATTATTGTACGTGCACCTAATTTTTTTACAACTTTTTCTCAGTCTTCACACCGTCCTCGATACTCTTCTCATTTCTTCATCGCCATTCAAAAGCATTGACAGCCTTGAGCATTTCATAGGCACATTATTCTCTTCAATGCGCCAATGCAACAATTTCTACCGATACTTGGTGTAATTTTCACATGCAATAAAGTGAAAAAACGTTATTGTTCAAGATGAAGGATTTACCATAGTCTGAAGTATCCTCTCGCATTCTGCTTCATTTGCATCGTTAACATTAATCGAGGGTCGCGGTTGTAAATGAGTAAGGCCCTCGTAAAAATTGCCAAGTTCGCCCAGAGGGCTAGCAGTGGGCACGGGCTTTCGCATTTGAAACTCGGAATTTTTTTCGTAATTGTAAGTATTACCGATAAGTGGGAGCAAATCCCCTTAGGATGTAACACTCACCGATTACTACATACGTGTCGGTTTTATACTTACGTGAACGCGTGCCCCCCGGCACCCACTGATTCCTGAATGTATTATGCACGCGTAATCACCGACCAGTGTACTTGTCTTTTTTTTCTTTCTCTATATGTATTTCTTCCACCGTTCAATAAAAAAAAACACTTTTTCCTCTCTCTGTCTCTTTGTTACCAGCAGCATATCGGTTCTATTTGAATTTTATGCCTCTTGTAAATAAATTAAAAGATAGGAGAGGCGGCAGGGATGTTAGATTGAGGGAACCAATTGCTTTCTGAAGGGGCACGGCGCGTGCTCATCATTTCATGTAATTTAGTCCAATTGTACCGCGGCTCTCGCATCCCATTCAATCGTTTCCAACTGTGGCTCTTTATCATGGACACTTTGTGCTATGTCGAGACTGAATGACGTCAGATGTCTTCGGGTCAAGTAAGAAGAAAATGACTGTCTCAGACGAAATTAGTACTGAGAATCCTGTCATGTTTAAATTTATTTGAAATTTGTCTTTTTTATACGAAGGTAATTATGGGTAATAATGAAGTTCACTTGTCTTGATTCATCAATCGTCCACTCCACTCGGATGGAAACAATTATTATAATTATTGGTGCAGGGGAATTATTCTGGCAATTCGAATGCAATGTCAATTCATCACAGAATTACAGTTCTAGCCGCGTCTTGTCTTTTCATTGTCAACTATCAGTTGCCATATATTTTTATTTTGATGGTATAAGTTACGCAAAATTCACTGATTCTAGTTTGTTTCTTCCCAAATTGCGAGTTTTTACAAGATTACATAATGAATGCAAGTGAGTAATAATCATCATCACTGTCTGCCCATGGAATGGAAGAATCGTTCGTAACGACTAAAGAACTTCTGTTGCAGTTCCTTTATCAAATCCACTAATTCCGTTAATTTTATTACAGGAAAAAATGTCTGATAAAATCATTGACTGAAATGGTCGGCAAATGTGAGTGAAAATGGAGTCGAGGCTGTTGGAGAAGAACGTATTCGGCGCTGGCACATTTGCGTTGGCTTATACCGCCAAATTCAGGCAATTTCGACATTCGAGACGATTTTTTGAGCTCTAGAGTTATGCCATGCAGAGCCACTCAACCGCAATAAAATCAAAACATTACCAAGGATTCTATATTGAAGACTTTATCATTTTTGCATGCACTCTTGAGGTCTCTCATACTTATACTTATGCAGGGCAGACAGTGTCGCAAGCCACGTGGTCACGCTCTGAGTAACTCGCCCCATATTTGTCGGCTATTTTTTTTCCTCCCAGTAACATTTTTTACGAACTCCACCCAGAGTTAAATTAGAAAGTTGTCAGTACAGGGAATTGAGCGAGAAGTTTGTCGTTGAGTTGGTAATTTCGTTAGGAAAGGTGCTCGCAACGGGTGGTCGTACCGCAAGTTTATCCTGATTTATGAGTTGGAAATGTTTTTGGAGGCCTTGAGTCAAAATTAAAACGTGACGAGAATAAATTAGTGGAGCTCCAACAAAAATAACGATTTTTTATTGGCATAACGATAAACATTAACGAATTAACAATTCCTGAGGATTTAACTCATTCATTTCTTTCTTTACTTTTTTCTGCCAAGTCGCTCGTCATTCCTATTTCATCGGTAATAAACAAAATAAATAATGAAATCAAAATAAACAAGTGTGAAAAATCATTTCATTCCATACGTGTTTTCCAACAATCCTGATGACGTTGCCTCTGGCCAACTTGTTGCTCTCTTCCCACTACCTTCCATTCTCCAAGGTTTGAATAACCGTCACGAAGACCCAACCCACTAGAATTTCAACTCACCACCAAAACTACCTCTTTCGACAAATCAAAATGATCGAATAATCGAAATATCCTCAACAGTCTCGAACGCCACTTCAACTACCGCCAAGGACTTCCACGATTTTTTCACTTCATTGACAGAATGCATAATTTATTGTTAAATCATTACAATCCTTCATCAAATTCTTCCACTGTTAAAACCCCTTGCTTTTAAACAATTAATTATCTTGACCCAAAAGTGCCAAATTTTTAGATACAATGCCTACATGGGGGGGGGGGGATTGATAATAAGAAGAGAGAAATGCCGAGAAATAATAATTGAATGGATTCATCAAGGCTGTACTGGTGTCATGTAGAGTCGAGAGAATTTCTCCCACCATAAAATTTCATCCCCACCAGTGGTAGAACCGAGGGGCATGCAACCACTGGGTGAACGCTCTGGTAGTTTCTGCGCCAGTTTCATTCCCGCCTCCGAACTCAGTGTTTTCGAAATGTTTGTCGAGTCCGCCACGAAATATAATTCCTGTGCGCCAATTCTCCATTTTTGGCATTGATTCGAGTCATTGGAATGAACAATTACAATCTAGTGAATTCGTGACACCGATACACACCTCAACAAGAAACTCGATTATCTGCACTAGTAACGTAGATAAATCCTATACTTGTGTTCACTGTTTATGGATGTGAAATTCCTACGGAGCTCGGAGAATCGATCTTCTGTTTTGAAACTCAAGCACTTGTGCTGACCTCGGAGAAGAAGGCTTATTGTGAGCATTGTCATTTCTGGGAATTACGAGGGATTGTCGGAAGTTGAGATCTCGTGGTCAGGATGAAGTGATCGGCGATTGCGGGATATCGTTTAGAAGATTATTTAAGGGCTGTATCGAGAGGATCATGTGGGCTGCGGGGTGTATCGTTGTTTTGGTGGTGATTCTTGGATTGGGCAGTTGTGCACCCACTCATGTGCAACCCAGTGTACCTACGGATCAGTGTGATTGGACTGGAAGGTTCGTATTCGTTTTTTATTTATGCTTGTTGCTTATTACACTGACATTTTGTCTCATTCAATCTATTTCTTATATTGTCTTATGGTTAAATAATTTTTCGTAATTTATTGTCACTTTATTGTGGATTTTATTGCTCGAATTATTAATCTTTTCTGACGCCAACTTTCTCCCATTCTTCCGCGAAATCGTGTCAAACCGAGTCGTCAGTCCGTGTTTACATTCACGAAACTAAAGAAAATTTCTTCTGTTCGAGTTAATTGCATCCCGGAAATAATACAACATTACCAGGAATGGAGATTTAATGAAGACCACAAATGTTACTCCATTTCCAGAGATCTCGAGTTTTCGCAACAACTTAGTCACTCTTCAGGCCTTTCACTCTTCAACTTAGAGTAGTCATAAAGAATCGCGAAATGGGTTCAAAGGATACCGTAATTTCATGATAATGGGAAGCGGAACAAAATGGAGTTGCAAAATACCTTGGAATCCGTATTGGCTATTTAAATCGAACTCTCGAGAAGACTCTTGACTTGTAAAAAAAAGCCAGTCCAATTTTCTCCGGCTCACTCTTGACTTTTTTATTTCACTTTCAAGTTTACCGTGTATGGTATTGGAACATACCAATCATTGAATTCCTCGTGGAGAGATGCAAAAAATGGATATCTACAGGGACGAGAGGAATTTCAGGGCTATCCAATTTCACTTGTATCGGAGAATGGAATAAACTCGGTAGCAAAAATACATCAAAATACCGGAGACATAAAATTAGAGGGGATAAATATTTTTTTAGTATTCGAAAATGATGGTAAATGAGAGGGAATTTAACAATGGAAAAGATACGATCGATTGATGTTTGCCTCATCAAAATCAAAATAAGAATATCGGGTCGATGAAATGTCGTTGGAGCATAAAAATCCCTCGCCATAAAGGATCGTGAGAAAACCTAATTGTCAATTGATTTATGCAATCGTAAATTGTTGGGAGTCACATTTTCATTGGTAATTTTGTGTCTCATGTCTCGTTCATGTAGCCCCGCTCAATCGTTAAAGGGATCGAGAGCGTTTACCACGTATATATACCAAAAGGCGACACGATAATTTAATAGCCCCCAGGAGTAAAGTAAACTTTTATCAAAATGTAAACCGGTCGTGGTGACTTTGAAACCGGTTCATGCCCCCCTTGTATGACAAAGGGGAAGGGCTCTCCCTGTCGCCCTATACTTTTTTATTTCTCATCTTTCCACTTGCCCTTCTTCTCATTTTTCCTGAAGCGTCCTCCGGGGCTTCGATTTTTACCGATAAAACTATTCTCCTGTACCACATAAACATTTCTATAGGTTAATGATGGGAAGGGCTAATTATTGTCGTATTGTCGTGACCTGAGTAAATCGAAAAATCAATTACAAAAAGGAAATTTTTCATCAACTCTATTATTGCGCAGCAATATTGGGACCTAGAGGAAATAATTCTAGCATTTTCTCCTTCCATCTTGCAAAATGATGGATAATTATTAAAATGTGTTCGTGTTAATCCGAAATATATTATAAAAATGAAATAAAAATTGTTGATTTTTTTGTAACGAAAAACTCAATATTTATTCAGCAGTGGTGGCGGTGGTAGAGGAGTTCGTCCGGTTTATTTGCGATGCTCACGGGGTACAGTGTCTTGGCGCTACCCCCGGGGCGCATTGAGGGTGGTACTGTCTGGTGGTGGTGACGGCAGGAGTTTTCGTGGCTGCATCAAAGTAACAGGCCCAGCTCGAGTTTACCTCGAGGGTAAAGGCACACTGAGACCGGTTTATGCGCCAGGAGATGGTAAACACGAGGCACTACATCGTTGCTTCCACTCGAGGGGACAGCTTGCTGCTCTATACGTGGAGGCGGATGAGCCCACGCCCGGTCATACCACAGTTAAACTACGTTATGATCTTGAACTCGAGCCAGTTGATGAGAATGGAAAAATAGTCAGGAGAGATGAGGAGGCTGAGTGTAGGCCATGCACTAAGGAGGAATTGGCTGAGACTTATTGCAAGAGTGATCTCGTTGCTAGGGGTACGGTTAGCGCTGTTGAGATACGACCGGATCTTGATGCTTCTGAACTTGTCCTCAGGGTGACCAAGACACTCAGGCGGGTCGAGGAGAATGAGGTAGATTTTTATTAGAATCTCATTACAAAAATTATATAAAGTAGACTCTAGATATAGGGATAATCGCCCATTTTTTATACCTATAATTTCATCATTAAAACGTCATTAGTTGTTATGAGAAACTTTCAAAGAACTGAAATTCACACTCTGTGTCATTTTTTTTTTTCATTTTTCATATTAATTTGAGGGGGGAGAGGAAATTGTTGGTTTTTACTGGTTGTTGAGAGGAAATTAAACGCTGGATTTTTTTCTTTTCCTATGATTACAGGACAACGAAGTTGATTCTGGTGATCTCGGCGTCGAGAGGGAGATCAGGGTGCGTGTGTCCAAGACCTGCGATGCTCGTCATGGTCATGGGGAATTTGTGATAATGGCGAAAAAGAGATTGGGTGATCTGACACTGGCTTGCGCCCCCAGGCTGGAAGCCTGGGCTGAGGCTGTCAGGGAGTTGCAGAGTGCACCCTGTCTCCTCAGGAGCTAGAGGCTTATTGTAAAAAAAATAATATCGATGGAGTTTATTTGGAATTGTGTAAAGAGATTGTATATAGATGATATATTTTTTGTTGATTGTACATAACGAAAAATTAACTTGATGGTAAGATTTCGATCTCCAAACTGTGATATTAATTGTTTGTAAGATGTTTGAAAGATGCGTCTATCATCGCGAGAGCTTTGAACAATAAAAGATGTATTCGATGGAAAATTGCAGGTGTGTGATATTATTTCATCTAAAGATTATTTTGAAACAAGTTATCAGAAGATTTTCTGCATGTACCATTTCTTCTTTTACTTTCTGATGAATTCTTTCTGTTCGTCTTTTTTTGTAATAGCATAGTTTTTGCGCCAAATTTAAAAAAAAATTCAATTTTCAAAAAAAGAATATCACTTTTTAACAAAATTCCACACATAATGTGATCTGCTAATACCACAACCCCACACCCATTTATATTCATCAACAAATATATATAATATTTTATTGTTTTCTTTTTTTTCCGTATAACAAATACATGGGAAACACGCATGAAGAAGGTGAGAAATGACGTAGAAAGAGCTACCTTTTGTCCTGAAATGACAATTGCTCGTTATGTTACCTCATTCACAAGAGAAGTGGTATTGTTTTACATCAAACACTTCTCGTCCTCCTAATAATTACAAAACATGGAAAATACTCAAGAGTCATATAGTCCATGTCATTTGTCACCATTAACTTCTCCACATTATTATAATATATTACTCTTTTAATTTCCTGTTATTTCCTTTGACTTCCATATTATATTTTTCACCGATTCCCATACTCATTAATTTTGGTCCAGCAAAAGATTAAGGGCCGGATGGAGTATCTCGGAAAGATAATTTACTCCAAAATTGGGATTCCTAATTACTCCGCCAATTAATTGTTTTTTTCGATAATTGTTCGCTAGCGTTCTAGTCGTTGACAACCGCTAGAATGCTAGCTAACAATTATTGAAAAAAACGATTAATTGCCAGAGTAATTAGGAATCCCAATTTTGGAGTAAATTATCTTTTCCAGATAATCCAACCGGTCTTTAACGCAGTTTCTAAAAAAATACCATATAAATGGGCAACTATGCTTACCAATTTCCGAGGTAAGTTCTTATTTATCATTATTATACACTAAAGGTCGAAGAAGAGAGCCAAAAAAGGGAAATCAATTCGGCCGGTTATAATTATCGTAGATGTATCGACCAAGAAAGAAAGATTTCACTCTGAATTTCGAAACTCAGACTTTATGTGGTTGAAGAGTTTAATAGTGAGAATACTATAAATACAGAATTATATAATAATAACGAAAAGCAGGTGCGATGTTTGCAATAATGATTAATTATATGTTGATTATTTGGTTAATTGAAAAAACAGAATACCAAAAGGAAGAAATCATAGATAGAAATAATGAAAACTGTTGCAATTTATCATTGAGTTTCAGCATTCACTTGATCGAAAAAAAAATTCAAGCGATTGTCATATTCCCAAGAGTAGCTACTGCCCATTAATATGATACTTTTTTTATAACTAAGGTAATTAGGGCCGAATCAGGTAACATAATTCAACTTACGGTTGCACATATTGAAAATAGAAGAAAGCAAAAATGTTTTATGAATTTTCAGCAAATTGATTTATGTAAATAAATTCATTCGATTGACTAAATGTCACTTAAGTGTTCGTTGCAAACTCTCAATGTTTATCATTGAATAGATATTAAAATCACCCGACATCACAATTATGGTTATTATCGACACATGATTACATCCCCGATCAAGCGGTAACATTGGACAAAATATCACATGAAAAGGAAAATATGAAGAGAACAGGTATCATCCATTACTTGATTGACTATCGAGTGGAATAAGAAAATAGGTTATTTGATTTAAATATCGATTTTATCTTCAATTTGTTAGATAATCTAGATATGAACAATCAAGTCGAAAAGAGTCCACATAATTGAGTGTTTTATTCGCTCAATTTTTTCATTCGCACAATTACTTATTCTTGCATTGAAAAGCTCGTAAAATATATTCCATTCCACTCAACTCCAGAATTTTGTAACTCTTCAAGCATTTGGTAAACACATCATAAATTCTACTGTGACAAAGCATACGCGGTTTTTTTAGCTATCAACGAACGTTGAGTTCAATTTAGTGGTGAAGTGGTGAGATAAGTCGAAATCTCACTCGTTTATAATGTAATTCATAAGACATTCCAGTGGCCGGTCCTTTTTTCATATCATTTATGTTTCAATAAACATCCCACTGTTGAATGAAACATTTTCAGTGACGACGGCAGATAGCCATAAAAATGAGTAGTAATAGTTTTTGAAGCAAAATATCATGGTAAAAATATCGAAACTGGATAACGTCACCTGGAATGCTCCAAATCTCCTTAGTCACAAGGTTTATTGATAAAAAAAAGTCGCACACAACCGCCGAATACGTTTGTTATATAATTTTCCACCTGTCCTTCACTCCCGTAATTACTCAGTAGTTCAATTAACGGAGGTTTGGAAAATTCGGGCATAACGGTATCACAAGGTCGTCCATATTCGGCAATACAACGACTTTATCAAATTCCTTGAGTAATTTCGTTTTTATCCAATTAGTTACGTATCCAATATTGACAGCGCGCTCTCCAACCGCTGGTCTTGCATCCAAATTAATTTTTGGAATTGGTTTGAATCCGTACCACAGGCGATCGGACGGCGGAGGTGGAATGTTAATGGATAAACAGCCTTCAATGCTGGACACACTGACCATCAACCGGATCTCAGTATTGGAAACACCCTCCATGGCTCGGCGAACGTATGACAACTCTGCAGCCTACAAAGAACATACCGAAATGACTAAAATCACTTTTTTCTAATGATTTTTTGTGAAGCAGTTAGGAACATATGGAATTAAGCTGGCGAGACCATTCTATTCATTCTCGCACGACGAAAGAACATGAAAAAAACAGTCAAATACTTCAGCGCCTTTGAGAGGACACATGTGGCATTCGATATTCAATGCCTCGAGTTTATTGGAATATTTTTAGACACTCACATGCTGAAAGTATTTGTTTGCTGCCAATTTGTCAACCATGCTCAGAAACTTTCGACTGGACGATTGTGTTGGTCTGAGAATAAAATTGAAGGGTTTTATCCACGAATTGAAAATTGTATTTTGTGAAATATTTTGAGATTGAATTGTTTAAACTTACGTTGACTCCCTGGACGAAGTAGCTGGCATGTGAATACTCTCTTCGTCTTCAGTGGACGTTTCTGGACTGTCCTCTACATCACTATCGAACATTGGAGATCTAGCAGGTTGTGGTTTATCACTTATTCCACTATCATTTGAATTATTGGACACAGAGCCCGCCTTCGTAAGCTTCATCAGATTGATCTTGGTTTCCACCGTCATTGTTACACCGCAATCATACGAAATGTCTAGATCAATCCATAAACCACGTTGGTCGACTGTTGGTTTACTGGCTTTGTGGATGAAAGGTGCGCTCTGGCCAATCACCAATTCTGATATCATTAAACTCTCCATGAAATATGGCAGCTTGATGTTGGACAGCTTCCGCTGAATTTTGTCCTGGATGACATTTATCATGTCGGGACACTTGTGCATATCGAATAAAAGACGACCGAAGAGGGCGTTGAGCCATAAAATATCGTTGTCCGCAGGTGTTATATTGGAATCCGTTGGAATTGATTGGATCTGAATGAAAAAAAAAAGAAAATCATTGATCATTGGTGATTTGAAATTCAGAAAAATTTTCAAGAATTACCGATAGATGTGGGATAAAAATGAAAATTTATTGTAGTTACTCACATCAGTATATTTGGACATGTATGAATTGTAAGTCAATTCTGGTGGAGTATCGATATTACTCAGAGTCAAGTTTTTTCCATCTCCATTGCTTTGCGATAATGACGAAGAGCTTGATGATATCGTCAACTCCTTGGTGGACGGTATTGAGTTCCGCTTGTCAACTGCCTTGGCCGCCGACACCAGTCGCCTGTACCTATCGCATAAAATTACAGTCTAAACCACACAACTTTATTCAGGAAAAAGCCACCGCGAAAAAATTCACGTAGAAACCCAACATAATATTCGGAAAAAAGGGGTATCCTGTTTCAACCATTACTCTCGTAAGAGAATTTTGAACTCACCAGTCTTCCTTCTGTCTATCAGTCCTCCCAAATACGAATACTTTAAACGTTGTGTCGTCCTCCTCATCCTGGCAGTCCTCGAATACCTCCTTCAGGTCCTTTGATAGAGAGACATCATCGTCAGTTTCGTCCTCCTCGACAATGATTTTGTGGCTCTCCTTCTCAGACTCTTGGAGCTCGTCATCTGACGGTGTCTCTATGACGACACTATCGCCGATCCCCTCAGGTGCAAAAGTTATACAAATTGGATATTTCTTGCTCCATCGTCGTCTTCTGGTGAGTCCCTCAGGGAGCAATTCAATACTAGCTCCTACCAGTGAATAAACCCTCTTCCTGGTATACCTAGCTGTGAGCTGAGTCTCATTCCACACAGCCCTTTTAGGCACCCTCGTCCTCGTCTCCATGATCCTCAAAGTCTCTCCCTCCAACTTGAAGTAAACTGCGTTTGTCCTCGCCACGTGATAATTCTGAGGATCATAATCACGTGGTAATTCATTCAACCACCCCTCAAACTTTTCAACTACAGCGTGCTCCTTAACTGCTTGAATCTCCAACACGGAAATTGATGAGTCAACCTGTGGAGTTTCCACTATTGGCATCTTCAAAACCTTCACTATTCTAGATAGTGTCCTCTCGACTGATACAGCAATGAGAATACCAGCTAGCAGTCCCATTATGTATTGAGGTAATGGGATCATATAAAAAGTTAAGAGGATAAGTGGTAATAGAACTGCACAATGGATTATACTTGTCTTTAATTCATTGAAAATTAGTTTTGGCTTCTTAACACTTTCAGTCTGTGGTTTCGCTGTGCACATAAGTTGGCGGATCATATTTATTGCTTTTGTTGTGGATACCTCTGTGCTCTGCTCATTTGATGTCTCGGAGAAGGTCATTGTCTCAACTTCTTCAACTTCAGCTGCCTCAACTCCACTTTCCACACTGTCCTCCATGTTATTTGTTTTTAATCCGGTTTTTATTGAGGAGAATCTGAATCTGGAGGAGTGACTTCGCCTCTTCAAACAGGGTGAGGATTCCTTCTCTGGTTTATCGAAAACTGGGTCCTCAGTGGGTGTAATATCCCCCAAATCCTCTGTGTCACTGACACTCGAGTTTTCTCGGCTTCTCCTCTTCAATTTATCCTTCTTTTCACTTTTTATCTCCGACAGTTTCTCCTCGAAGGTCTTTGTTATCTTCCCTCTGATATCTGCCAACATTTTCCAGGGGTCTGACGGTGGTGTGCCCTCAGAAAAATCAAGACTAGATGAACGTATATCTAAGATATCTTCGTTGCTCTCTGAGTTACTGTCAGACTTAAATTTTGCTGTTTTGAAAGGGCTCGAATTTGGCGTTGTCTTCTCTGATGCTGGTTTCTCATCGTCTGTACTAGGATAGAGTTCCTCTAGTTCGTCGTCACTTGCATGGTAACGAATGACTGGGACTGACGTGGTAATTGATTTACCTAAAATAATTTTTGACATTAGAAAACTTGTGAGAATACACTTCACAACTAGCTTGGACACTAATTCCAAATTTTTTGGAGCATTATGAGTCACTAAAAAATAGTCCTGCATGTGGTAAAATAGAACTTAGCGCCGACTTAATCAAGACAAGGTCAAAAAATTATAGAATATTAAGGAATAATTTTCTAAAATTTATCCGTACCTTTCATCATCCCCAACGTCACTTTACCCGGACTCTGTCTAGCCATTACAATGAAAAACTTCCTAACATGTATTTGAACTCAGCTGACACTCAATGTAAAACATTATTCCCGAATATATCGATTCAACACCCAAGCTAGTCCTCACAATTTCTCTTCACCACCGACACATTTTTTCAAAGAATGAGTCAAAGCATATTATCTTTATCGGGGAATAACAATCGACGTCTCTCATCAATGAGTCGTGACATTCGACTGGGTCTCGTTGTATTGCAGAATATACATATATTGATAGATACCATCGGTGAACATCTGTTATTACGGCGACATAAATGACTCATCAGTGTCAATTCAACAAGGAACTACCAGCCGGTGCTGCTCCATAGCAGATCCAGATACCTTGGCCAGGCCAATGAGTAAATTTTAACCCTGACAGTGGAATTTTTATTATTGCAAAACATTGTGCCCAAACAGCCCGAACAGGGCCACTAAGAAATTGTTGGTACACAGAGTCATGTAGATTTGAAAATAGGGGAAATTATTATGTGATGGGTTCTCATGTGACGATCGGTCAAATACTCGTGACTGATTGGTCGGGAGAGCCAGGATGAAATGTATGTGCCTCTGCCTCTTGATCATTAGGTTATGGCAGTTGGAGTTGTTCCATGGCCGTTTTTGAAAAGACAAGCTCTAAACGACACCTGCTCCTCTTTCCTCACTCGTAAATCACAGGGTTAATACCGTTTTTCGTGGAATTATTATATTTATCTGATGCCTATCGATCTTTGGCTGCAAGTTATAGATTGGATATTGTGGTAGAAGTGATTTATCTACGATTAACATCGATAAGATATCGATAAAGAGCGTGAACATTAATCTGTTTGTCATGGCATCACCTGGGGAATCTATTTTCGTTTGAGAATTCGTGGGAATTTACAACGAAAATGACAGATGAATTCGATGAAAATCTGGACGAGACGTTCCAAGAGCCTCGCAAGAGGTTTTGGCAGGTGAGAATTCATACTTCTTTATTAAAAAATGCATAGTTTTGAATGGTTTAATTAAATGACTTTTGAATTATTATTGGGATTATTATACAGAGGTCCTCGAGAAAAAGAACTAAGAGTGATGCAATCAGTATTAGTTCCATGGATATATCGTTGGATTCTACGATGATGAAGAGGAAAAAACGTCGGAGAATAACTGAATTCGCTACGAATCTGTTATCTTCATCTACGACTACTGGCAGATTGAGTAATGTATTACAAAGGTCCTTTGGATTTCAGCAGAACAATTCGATATCAATGATTGATGAGGAGATGAATGCTGGACCAAGCAAGAGGTGAGAATCGTTGTTGACTAATTTAGGAGAAACATCAATGTAAAATATATTGAGAGCTATACTATTTCGATGTCAATGAGGGGAATTACACAATTTTTTTGTTTTCTTGTGCAGAACAAGAAGTATATGTGAACGTGCAGGCAACTTAGCGATTCGTAGCTGGGTAACAGACGTTGCGGGATATTGCGAAGCTTCCCCAAGGCCCAGTAATCTAGGCAGAACCGAGGTTAAACGTCAAGAAGCAATATACGAGCTGTATTGCGGTGAGAATATTCTTCTGAACGATCTCATCACCCTGAAGGAGACGTACTACGAACCCCTCCAAATGACTGACATATTCACTCCCTCCGAGCTTCGGACACTCTTTGGTGATCTCGATATGCTCGTCCACGTTCACAGCAAGTTACGAGATGATCTGGTGGAGCTGAGAGACTCTTCCGGTTTCACAGATATCATCGGTCCAACTTTACTCGAATGGCTTCCAACACTGGTAGATCCCTACGTAGAGAAATGCAAGTCCCAGATCTTGGCGAGACACATTCTCGATGAAAAACGTTTGAGAAACAAGAAATTCCAAGAATTCTTGAAGAGGAGAATGGAGTCACCGAAGGCCGTCGATTTGTGGACGTATCTGGATACTGCTAGATCTCGAGTGGTGAAATATCCTCTTCTGGTGAACGAGATATTAAAGAGGACACCAACGGGACATGAGGATCGTTCCCTGCTAGAAGAAGCAAAAATTGAACTCTCTAAATTATTGGAAAGAATTGATAGGGCCATGGGCGATGCCGAGTGTGAGTTAGCAAGATCGAAAATTAATGTAAAAGAGGAGTATGATCCTGAAGGGTGCATAATCGAAGCTGTAGAATTAATTACTGAAGGACAGCTGAAGGATGCCAAGGGATTAAAACTTCACTGTTTTTTGTTCGATACCTGTCTAGCCTTCACTCGTCGAGTTGTGCGCTCCAGAGTGAAGAATTATAATCTAACGCGATTAGTCATTCCGAAAGCTCAATTGAAAGTCCAGACTGACTGCGAGGGAAATGGCTGTGCCTTCAAAATTGGGGAGCATTCGTTTGTCCTGAGAGATGAACACGATAAAAGGCATTGGATGGACGCTTTCGAGAAGGTACATCGTGCTCCAAGAGTCTTGAAAAGTGAAAAACCTGTTGATAAGGACAATAAGGACTCTAATGGAGACTTTTCCATCTCTCGGGTTTTACGTAATAAGCAAGTGTCCAAAAGAACCGTTCGGGAACGTCCAATCTAAAGATCTCTGTTGAGATAAATATTTTTTATATAATCTTATATAAATAATTATACAAAATTAAAGAATAATTTTTAAGGTGTAATTAAGCAAATATGTTCTTGCAATTTATCAGTCCATTTAAGTAAAAATTCCTTACGTTATTTTATTGATGAATCGTTAGAGTGGAATTGGAGATTTTTAAAGTGGCACAATTTCTGTTATGAAATCAATTAACGATTGATATTCGTTGAAAGAATTATCAAATTTTATGGTCGCAACTTTTCCCACTTGAATAATCTTAAGATTTATTAGGTTTCATTGAATTTCCGTCTGGATAGCGTTTTCTGAAGGCTTTGATGAGAACTGGATCGATCAGATGTACCCCATCGACCTGATTCCCCAGAGTTATCCAATTAGGTTGAACATTGTGTGGTCTGCCAAACAATTCGATTTTTCTCGTACTAGGACTCATCCTCTCGATGATACCGTAAATTTCGTCGGGTTTGTGACTGGTTGCACGTACTTCAGCGACAATAACATCAGAATCGAGGCCTTTGTTGATCCTAGGGTTGCCTTTCATACCGACGAGGCAATGTTCCTTGCCATGATTGAGCCAGTGTCCAGTTCTCCCTGTCCTGATGATCCTTTGGAGTTGATTCGTTTTTACCCAGATGATCTCATCGACTCTTTCATAACCCCACAGTTGGAGGCACTCCCTGCCGAGCTCCATAGCTCGGCCAGTTACCCAGAGGAAGAGTAAACCCTCGTCCTGAAGGGCTGGAATCCCTAACTGACGCATTTCGTCGTCAGACATTGTGCCATAGGGCAATTCCATGTGAATGTCCCAAGGAGGATCAGCCATTATCACAGCGAATTTTCCGAGAACTGTCATGTCTAGGTATCTCAGGTCACATTGGATCCACTGAGGAGGGTAGAGAGTAAGTTCTGTGCCTGATCCTGGTGATGACACTGATCCCTGAGTTTCTGAGGCTTTGGTCATTGTATTGGGAGGATTTCCGCTTTCTGAATCGATTGAGGATTCTTTGGAAAGTGCTATTGAACCGTCTACTTCGTAGTGTACATATCTGTGAGATGAATGCACAACTTGAGTTGATAAGAAGATTGCAAAAGATACTGTTAACATTTATTGTCATAAACCAACTATTCGTCCGTTCGAAATAATATATGAACAGATATGAAATTTAATGAGAAACTAGAAAAATTGGACAGAATTTCTGTAATGATAAAGTGTTATTATTGTTCTGACTCACTTGCAAGTATCCATGTGAAAACAAGTATTCAAAAAGCTGCAGTCACCTAAAGATTCATCCGTGTGTCCCTGAATAATTTTTTTGAAATGTAACTTTTTGCATTTAGTTGTTGTTCCACCATTCAACTTGGTGCAGTCGACCCTGGTACCGTGGGGACAGAACTCCATCACCTGAGCTCCTCCCTGAGACCTAAACCTCTCAGCCAGTGATTTTTCTTTGGATGTTTGTTTGGATAGAAGATCAAGAATTTGCTCGCCAACTTTTTTACTCTCTTTCTCTCTAATTGTGGGCATGAGAATGAGAGACATGATGTCCTCAGCATTTTTCTGCTCCTGTTTGGGATGCTTCTCCGGTGGTCCATCAATGTCTTCCTCCTCAGGCTCGTCAGTATCGTCAGTTTTCTCGCGGGGTCCAATGTCCGGGGTATGGTTGATCAAGGTTTCTTCGGTTTTACTTTGGGTGTTTAGAATAGTGAGGACTGTGTAACCCAGAACACCATCCTCAGTCACTTCTTTCATTCTGAAATGATTGGTAATTAATGGAAAACTAGAATAAAATAAAAAAACAATGAATCAACTAATTTACTTAATAACATCCTGCGCTGCCAATCTCTCTAGAATAGCCTTCACATCGCTATGAAGTACATCAGCACTCAAATTCTTCCTCAATTGAACACTGAGGTCAGCTGACGTGATTGGACTGTCAGGAAGAGTTACATGAAGAATACTCAGAATATCCCTCTCATATTCATTGTATTTCGAGTGATGTCCTGATGGAGCATCGGCTTCTGTTTCAACAAAAAACGAACAATGAGCAATAAAAATAAAAAAAAAGAAAATAAATAAATAAAGAATGAAGCATTCACCATTCACTATAACAGTCTTAGTAATCAATGCACTAGTCGTAATCGTAGGTAGAGTCGTCAAAGTAAATAATTCATTCCTCTCTCGTTTTCTCTTCTGCAATTTCTCACGTAAGCTATTTCGCTTGATCTTTATAGCTTGAATCTCTTCGAAGGCGTCTGACATATTTACGTTACAAGGTTAGAAACATTGAAATTAAAGGTGCAACAACACAATTCACTAAGTCATGAAATAAAAAGTCGTCATCATTATCGTCATTATCAGGTCATCGTCAAATAAAAACTTAACAGTGTCAACAACAATACATATCAATCAACGAAATACACACAAATGAAATCATTGAAACAATCTGCAATTGTTGGACTTTTGTACTTATCGTACTTATCAACTAGTGGACCTGAGTGCACTCTGGGGGTAACACAGTCTCCTAATGAAATTCTTCATTAACCCGCCACCATGTCTCTGAAGTCTAAATTCTCTCTTGCAATATCTCAGCCACTTTCCCCTCTTTATAAAATCAATTAGGTAATGCCCAAAACGGCGGATTGCGCGCCATGAAAATTGTGAGAGCTTATATGAGAGAGAGTCTGCATTTGGCAGTGTATGTGTGTACGTGTGTACAGCGAGTGGTGGCGGTGGTGGCTGACTGTGTTCCACAGTGGTAACTAGTGTATTGAGAAATTTTTTTAAACAAAGTAGATATTAATATGTCCTCGCCTACGAAGAAGTTGAAGAAGGTGGAGGACAGTGCGGGAGATGGAAATGATACGCGTGATTATGACGTTGAAATACAGAAGACTCTTGAGGAAATTGACGGTTGTCAGAATCAAATCGATGGACTGAATGAGAAGGCCAGCGATGAGATACTCGAGGTGGAGAAAAAATACAACAAGCTACGAAAACCGTATTTCCAGAAGCGGAATGATATCATCAAGAGGATACCCAATTTTTGGTTAACAGCTGTATCCTTTTGTTTATTGGTGGAAGTTGGAGGGAGAGGGGTTGGCATCTTTGTAGATTTTTTCGCTCATATTTGACACTTGGCGACCGGACCGGCGTCTACCGGTGTGATACCGCCATCTTGTATCACTATATATAGATTTTTGCAATACTCTACGCAGTGATTGTCCCGCCGGTTTTAAGTTTTTAAAATTTTTTCGAATTTTTATTGTTGCTAATCACCGGGTATTTTACCACTCTCGTAGCCATGATTTTTTAAATACGTTTCCAGATTTTTCTTAACTGTATTCCATAGTTTGTTAATAATAAGAAAATAGCTGAGATACTGGAGGAGGACGAGGAGGATGCACTTCGGTATCTCAATAAACTCGAGGTCGAGGAGTTTGAGGACATCAAGTCTGGGTACAGAATCAATTTCTACTTCGATGAGAATCCGTATTTCGAGAATGAGGTGCTCACTAAAGAATTCCATTTGGGATCATCTGGTGAGTGGGGATTAGGTATTTATGATGGATTATTTTGAAGTTGGTTGGGGTGTTTTGTTGGGAGAGAATGTCCTTCATGGAGAACTCCTGCATCATTGCAGGGGATCCAGCTTCTCAGAGTACACCAATACGCTGGAAGGATGGAGCTGATTTAACCAAGAGAGCAAAGGGAAAAGCCCAACTTAAAGAACGCAAAAGGCCGCTTGGTCACAGGTCATTTTTTGATTGGTTCACGGATCATGGCGATCCAAGTTCTGATGATATTGCGGAGTTAATTAAGGATGACATGTGGCCAAATCCACTGCAGGTCAGTCATTTTACTGATCTTCACCAGATTTTCTCGACTCATGAGTACAATCATCACAAAGAAATTACTCTACCATGTTTTTCATGTAAAAAATGTATAATTTACAGTATTACCTGGCACCTGATATGGACGTGGAAAATGGTATCGAGGGCGAAGGAGAGGAGGTGGACGGTGACAGTGAGGAAGAAGAAGAAGACGAGGAAGATGTTGCTGGAGAAGAGGGAGACGACGTTGGTGAGGGTGAGGAGGCAGACGACAGCATAGTGGTGGTAGAGGATGACGGCGACATGGAGGACGAGGATGAAGGGGGTAATGACGAGGATGATTTGCTCGGTGATGACGAAGGCGATCAAGAGGCAGATGGCGAAGAACCTGAATAAAGTCTCTGAACGCTGACAGATATCATCTGTCACGAATCGACTGTTGGTTGATTCAGTTAATTCTCAATAGCAGAGCAATTCTCCACCGCATGAAGAACAGAGAAAATCAGCACAAGATTTTTTTACAAAAAAAGAAAAACGAAAAAATAAACAAACAAACAAATTACTTTGAGTTTTGGCGGAGGTCAGTGAGTGAGACCTGAGAGTCTTTGCCTGGAACTTGTTACATGATAATTATATTGATAAATAGCATAGAATACAATTAAGCGAAAAGGCACTGGGCAGGGATTCTCTGTCAGTACTCTCAATCCTCTCGGAATCATCTATTCGAAAGAAAAAAAAACTAAGTACGCAATCATAAAAGCAAAAGACGAACGAGGCGCATGAATGCGATTCAATCAGTTACAATTTTGGTAACAATTTTCTTTCCATATCTCATTGTTTTGATTTTAGAAAAAAAAAATTTATTCTTGAAGAGACCACTTTGACGATATTGTATATACGTGATAAGTCGGAGTTTAATTTTCCTGAATTATTGTCATTTGATTATTCTTTTAGAAGATAACGTTCTTAACGCCTCGGGTTTCTCTTCCAGTTTACTATTTTTTATTCCTTTTCAGAGATACATATTGACTTGGTCTCATAACACAAACACACACCACTTAACCAGATAATTTCATCATTATCAAGTAATTTTTTTGTTATTGTATATTTATCAAATTATCAATTCATGAGGAAATATTTCAGTAATTTTTAAGTTATATGTTTGTGAGTAAAGGTTACTTTATTTTCACAGGCGCCAATTGCTCCTGCAATAGATTTTAGCTATCGAGTCATTGGCATTAGTTCCCGTATCGTGGATTTTTTAATTCATTTTCTTAGTGACATTTAAAAGGTGATAAGGAATATAAGTTTTTATAAAACTGCAGTCAAGGGATGCATAATATGTGTAATTCAGACAACTCAAATTTTTATTTGAATCCATCGAATCTAAATGTCCGATAATCTCTCGATGAAATTTCATTCGGACTTACCTCGATCATTATTTTAACTTTCCAGGAATATATATGTGGCCATTTTCTGTTGGGCAAAATAAAATTATATACTCTGATTGGTCCTGAGAAATCAATATTTACAGTAAAAAATCAGTAGAGAATCATTAATAGAAAATATTCGTTTGGACCTCACGTTATCTTTCGTAATTGTTCGAAATGATTCTTCTCGTCCCAATACTTGCCATTTATTTTTTTAAATCCCGAAAGGTTGAAATATGTCAATTTCTTTCATGTAAAAATTCATAGATTCATATTTATACACAAATTCTGTGAATAAAATACTTTGAGTACTATAACGTGAATTGCATTCTATTTACTGAATATAATCCAGCCTGTTTCATCCTGAATTCATGGTACAGATATGAATTTCAAATAGCTCTTTTCAGTCGTATATTTTTTCCAAATTAAGTTGCATATTTGATCTTTCTTTGAAATATTTCAAGTACTTCGAATTATCATTCTATTGAATTATATTTTTATTTAATTTCATTGATTACTTTATCGTGTGAAAATATAATGAAAAAAATAGTGAAAAAAATAGGGCGGTCATGTAGGTAGTCTAGCTGTCTATTTAGATTCTAGATTCATATGAGAGGGTTATGTGCTTTGCCGGTCGTACCGATAAATTATCTACACAATTGTTTCTTTATCCTGTCATAGTAATACTCTTTATGCCATTGCGCCGGTAAAACGCGTTTCTAACCTCGCTTCGCTCGGATAAAAACGCGTTTTCGGTCACAATCACATAAAATAGCATCATAGCCACGGCGAAAAAAGTGATTCTGACTCATGAGCGTTATAATCCTCGTCTCCGACTCGGACTATAAAGTCGCATTCGTCAGATTCCCTTTTTCCGTCCTAGGCGTGAAAAATACTATTATGTCGTCGCGGCCGGTAAAACACGTATCTAACCTCTCTTCGCTCGAATAAAGACGCGTTTTCAGCCACAATGACATAAAATAGCATCATAGCCACGGCGAAAGAAGTGATTGTGACTCATGCGCGTTATATCCGTTATAGCCGCATTCGTCAGATTCACTTTTTCCGTCCTAGGCGTGAAAAATACTATTTTTCGATGAGCGTACTTTATTTTCTGCTGCATTGAAAGAGAATAAGAGAGAGGATAAATTAAAGTAGATTAGATTTCAATTCACCAGGCGAAAAATTGAATTTCAGGTATTCATGTAGTAGTTTCCTATTCCACGATTCTTATATGCATACTTATCCGAAAAACTCAATTTGATGCCCGGGATAAGAAATTCATTTGAAATACAGTAGAATTTCGTTATAGTGCCGTTTCTCAATTACTGTTTTCGCGTACCTTTCAGTTTCCACACTTTATTACCTCCGTGTTCCACGATACACCCGGTGAGCAATTAAATTCTATGAAAAGCAAAACCCAAAAATGAATTTCAATCTACTGATGAATTCGCGCAGAACTTTACAACTAAATGTCCATAATATTGTGAAATTTAGTACTCAATTGCATTCATTTTTCAATTATCACTTTTACTGCTATTTTATTGTAACATTTTGTTCAAATTTCAATGGAGGTTCTTAAAAAATAAATTAAACGGCAATCTAATCGCATAACCGAATTATAGGTAAAACTCTACGAATGTAGAATAATTTACGAGCTCACCTGTCATAAACGCACAACGGTTCCGTCGTTATGTTTCCCTGTATGATCATTTTTCAATGTTCTCTTATCACATTCCATCGACAGCCCTCACAAAATACAATTTCAATTCCCTTTTCTAATTTTAAAATCCTGATTTGAGGCGTTCTGATATTTCTCTCGATTAATTTTCTTTTGAAATTCCCTTGACATCCATTATTTTTCCTGTTCCATTGTCTCGTAATTCAAATGGAGTTAGATGAACCGATAGTTCAACACGAAGACCATTCACAAATGACTTGTATGCAAAGGGCGCCGAAAATATGAAAAATTAAACCATGAATTGAATCTCGACGAAGACAATTTCAAAGTTGTTTGTTTCTTTAATAATCGTGGCTTGAAGTGTCAGGTTTGTTTCTCCAAGACTCGCGAAGTAATCGATTTACACTATAATATTATGGCTTGTAATATTTTTTGGGAATATTCCGAGGAGTAATATTATAATATTGAAAAAAAATTTAGAGCCGCCTCAGTCAAAAAATCACCAGTTGATTTTTGTAGAAAGTTTACTTTTTGGAGAAAATTCGAAGCTATACTCTGCTGGAAGTAAAAAAATTACTGTCGCAGTCACTGCACCACCCATTAAATTTTCATTCTATGCCCGCTAATTTCCCAAGGGTCTCAGTGAATTTTTGCTTCTAGGTCCCTATTTATGAAGCGGGCGTTACAGTGTTATCAAGATACGGTTATGTGTGAACTGAATACTTACGAACAACTTAGAAGAGTGGCACTCTTTTCAATTTAAATAAAAGGCCGATATAAAAAATTAGAATACCCTAGACCATTTGTGCCATAGTAAGAACTGGCTCCCCCATGTCCTCATGATTTATCAAGGTTAATAGCTAATTGATGACTGAGACGATCCAGTTCTATTAATTCCTATCAAATATCTAGAGACCTGTCAACGCCAAAGAAATTATAAAAAATCGTGAATAACATGATGAACTGACTATTCTTTCCCCTCGTCTTGAAAAGATTGTGTAATATTTTTAGTCTGCACTTAACGAACATTAAATCATTATAGTTAAAGCCCTCCAAATTCAAGATATACTTAACTGGATATACTGAACGAAAAAATCAAAGCAAAAACTGTAATAGTAGAACTTGACTTTTTCAAATGCTGAAACAGCAGTCTCATGAAAATTCCAGCAAAAAATTCCACCAGCTCGCGAGAACTAATTGACAGCACCAACAACGTGCACAGAATTCGAGAATCGACGATATGTTCCCCTGTATTTCCTGATGAATAGGATATAATAGAAGAGAAGGATAGGCTGATCCGACGTTATATGGATCTATTACTTCACTAATTATACGTTCAGCGAACAAATGCACGAAACTTGTGACAACCCTGGTAACACTATCTGTTCATTGTTTACCTTTTCGTTGCAATGAAATCTTTAATTCAGTAGATTCATCCCGCTCCTAATTAAATCTTCCATTTGCATATGATACGTAGTGATATTTATTTACCCGTCGATGAGGACCGCTGCAGGTTGAAATAATCATCTACACGCAGAAAACACTATACTTAAAATACGGGATTTAAATATTTTTAAATTACGATTGTTATGGTGTAAATTATGCAGTCGATCCCGTAAATTACGCTTCCAAACTCGTAACTTACGGGGACCCATTTCATGAATTACAAGATACGACCACGTAAATTACAAGTTTGAGGTCGTAAAATATGGGGCCAAGCATGTAATTCACGAGGTCGAATCTTGTAATTCACGACATAGTTCTCGTAAGTTACGAGTTTGGAATCGTAATTTGCGGAATCGACCTCATAATTTACGACATAACTGTCATAATTTACAAATTTCTGGGCGCAATTAACGTGGTTTTAGCGCATCATATTTACGTTTTCAATCTGACGATGTACGAGATCAGAAATCCCGGAATAAATTATGCTTTAAATATTCTATTTTAAGTATAGTGTTTTCTGTGTGTACATAAGAGTACATTCATTCGAAATAAATTAAGTGCAAGAACCGGGGTAACATTTAGGTTTCGAATTCTCTCAATGAACCTGGTACGGCTTTCCCTATGAAAATTGCATTGCGAGCACTAGTGCGAGTTGGAAACGATTACTCCTAGTACAGCCGTGCACCATGTAATCGCCGAATTATTGCGAGTTATTCTACCATATACAATTTAAATTCATGATATAATGCGAGCATTGGTACATGAGGCATAAATAGCTCTCCCCGGAATACGCATTTAATGAAATATTAATGTAGAATCGATAGAAGCTCGTGGTGATAGCGAATTCATGGAGTTACTGTGGCAATCCACATGGTTCTTGGAAATGAAAACATCAAACATGATATTCGTCAGATCTTTTGGAGTGTTTGGGTTTTACAGTTGAATGGATTTTGAAAGTTTGAAAGCATCACGATTGACATCAAAACATAATAGTATTGACAAAATGTACGGATTGATTATGATGAGAATGTATTATTCCCGACGATTAAATCATTATTGAAAAAACTCAGCAATCATTTCAACAATCCTTCATATTAAATTATAATTTCAATGATAATAATAATACTTTAAATTCAATTATCATCGAGTGTAATTATAATGAAGTCTATATCATAATCACGGTAGTCATAATTATAATTAAATTGTGATTAATTGCTTGGAAAATTCAATGTGAAAGTGGAATCAAGTAGTGCATGTTAAAAATTAACTAATGCATCTGTCACTTAGAGAAATACCCACAAAAAATTCAAACAATTATAGAAGTTGTGGAAGATATTCCGTGACATTTTCTTATTTTTATTGACTATCATCCGTGTGAGGCATAAAAACTTCATATCTTCATGTATTTTTAACCGTTTTCACAATGATTCAACGTAAACATTGGTAAGAATTTTTCGTATTTGAAAAATACTTAGCCACAGGGTCTCGATCTGATGGTAATAGCGATTGATGCATGGAGAACGATATGGATATAGCCGTGGGTGATTTTTTGGGAACAGCAGTCTGGTCGGATGTTTACCTGGGGCAGACCATCCTCGTCTGCAAAGCTTTCGGCTTTCCCTCTCAACGGCATCCCCGTTGGCAGTCTCAGTCCATCCAATGCCTCCAGCCGACCAACATATGAGATGTGGATATATCTTGTTACCGCAGTGGGCGGGGAAAAATCCACTGGTGTACCTGCTCGCTTGCACCAAACGATTTTTTCTATTTTTGCTTTTGCTCACTCGCACTGTTACCTCAACGTTTTGCTCGCTCACAGCTCTCAATAGTTGCATCAATATTTGTCCAATGCTATCGTTCCAAAGTTTTTTATCCCCACAACTCGGTGAGCTGTGCTCTTTTCATTTTAGAGGGCCGCAGGCATGAGTGCGTTGTCGGGAAAAACATTAGTGGAAAATTTGATAGACCAAAAATAAGATGGATTGAATTTACTCTTACTTTAAAATTTCCAGACTAATTTTCATAGCGGGAATACCACTCGTTTTGTTTGACGTTTGTATTTGGAGCGGAATTGTGGCATGTTTATACGTTTCCAAAGAGTGTTGATACAATTGGTGCAACTGGAATACGTTCTGTTGATAATAACAATGATTGGGAAAACATTTTGTTGGAGTTTGATAACTCGCAGCT